GGTCAGCAGACTAGCTAAAAATGGTTCAGTGGAACAGCCGTCTCAAGGCAAAGAGCCCTAGTGGGGTACTCTTCCAAGCTCCATACAGACATGCACAGGTGTTTGCACCTGCACACACGCACACACATGCACGTGAGGACAAACACTACACAGAGAAAGAGAGAGACACTCAAGGACACACGCATGCAATAAAAGATGATATAGCCCAAAGCAGCCATTTCCAAGATCAGTCCCATCACCTTCTCTATATTGCTTCTCAGTCACAAGCTCTCGGAATATTTGTTTGAAACATTTTTTTTTTCTGGGTATATGCTTGAATATACTGAGGGCAGGTTTTGACACTGTGACTGGGCCACTGTGTTGGTGGGGACCATTCTCTGTGGTCTCTCCCCAGAAGATGCAGTTGCGTTCTTCAGCTGTCAAGACCAAAGCTGTGTAAGAACATCCCAAAATGCATCCTAAATTCAGACTTGCCCCTTGCTCTGAACCACTGGTCTTCAGAAAAGTCAAGAATATTATTGTATTTCCAAAGAGTACTTTGGAGAAACCCGAGGAGCATCCGGGTTGGGAAACCATCATGTTCTGTAAACTTGTAACAAGAGGTAGAAACAGCATTCCTGTTACCGCTGTCTCTGCATAGACTTTCACTGTATGTTTCCAAGCAGTGCAGAGATAGCAGGGTAGGAAATGGTCACCTGCTTGCCACAAGCCCCAAGGATGCCTTGATCCCCCAGATTCCACTCTAGATGGAATCTCTTTTCACTCTTCGCTGACCCCTAACACTGTGGTGCCTGGAAGGAGCAGGACTCTTTCCTAGCAGAACCCAAACAAAAGCCATAAAACGCACACATAGATCAGGTGGGGATCCCTATAGTCATCACATGGAGAAGACATTCTGCTTCTCAGAGGGATGGCAAGCACAGTGGCACAAGCTGATGACATCACAAGACATCCTCTCTCTGGAGGCACATAGTCAGATTTGCCTTTGTGGAGCTTCAGGCCTCTTGACCTGGTCCGTCGGAGCACAGCCACAGATACGCAGCACCTCCATTATCAGGAGCCTGTCCAAAATGTAGAACCGCAGCCTCTTCCACAGCTGCAAGTCAGGATCAAATGGGATCCGTGTAGAAGGTCTCCATGTCATTAAGATACTGTGCCATGTTGGGGTCTACTCTTCACCACCCATGGGCCTGACCCTCTGTGCACATTGGCTTTGCTGGGATGGGCATCATTTTCTTTGTAGGTGGGAACACTGAAGGGGAGGGGGATTAAAATCATTTTTTGTGGCCATGCAGCTAATGAATTTGACGGGGTTAAAGATAAGTGGGTATATTAGTCCTCCCAAACTCGGTGCTTCTGGACACACCACAAGCAGCCATTTTTCCGTTGTCATCTATAATTTCCCAAGGCTCCTGACTAGCATCTTTAGCTGCTTCCAGGGGACCCTCGGACCCATGATAATTTAAGGATAATTTAAGGATAGGGTGATTTGGGACTCTTCGCTCACTGTCTATGCAGAAAGGATGCACAGAAGGCTGCAGGGGCAGGGCAGGGAAGGGGGAATACCTGGTCTATCCAAAAGAAGAGAAGTGGCCCATGCCTTTGTTGAGGGCGGTCCCTGCCCTTGCTGCAGACCTTTGGCATTTAGAGCCAGCAGCCCGGAGCCTTGGCGGGCTGTTTCTCAGGAGTGTTACTTCCTTGGGGCTGTTCCCAGAGGTGGCATCTGTATGCCAGCCCCGACATCCAGGGGACGTCGTGGTCTTTGATGAAGCCAAGCTAACTTAGAGGGTGAACTGAGCACACGCAGCTTTCTTTTGCAATAGGTAAAGACCAAGGCTATCGTTCAACATCTAGATTCAAGAAGTTGAGAAACAAAGTTCTTTTCCAAAGAACTCTGGGGAAGAGAGTGATAAGAAAAAAAAAAAAGAAGAAGAAGAAGCATAGCCATCACAAGTGCTGCCTTCTCTTCTGGAGGACCCAAGTTCGGTTCCCAGTACCATATCAGATGGCTCACATTTGCCTGTAACTCTAGATTCAGGAGATCTAACACCTTTTTCTGGACTCTTTGGGGACTCACATACCTGTGGCATTCACACACACACACACATGCACAGAGTCATTCATGCATGCACACACATGCACCCACAAGATAAAATCTTTAAAAAGAAGTATACCCTTCTAGAAGATTAGGCTGTGGTCAGAGAATAGCAGGTGGAGATGGAAGCCATCTTGCCAATGAGACTAAGGAAATGACAGCCTGTAGGGCCATAGGGAACGTGATAGCCAAGCAGAGTGGCAATGGTAATCACCTAACAGCAGCTGATAACACACTAACTCGTGCCTCTGTGTCCATTTCAAAGACACGAAAATTGAGGTTGGAGCAATCGGATGATATGTGTAAAGACATGCATACCTAGGAAGTAGCAGAGGGCATGAACTCAAGTGGGCTGACTCCTGAGTGGCTGTCCCACCCTCTCCAGAACAAACATCCAAGAGCCCAGGAAGTGAAGGTGATGGGCTGTTCAGCACCACTTCTGTCTTAAGGGCTTCCTGCTAGCTCACCACTCTACCCGAGAGAGATGTGGTAGAGCGGGGTTAGGTTTGGAGCTGTGGGATATGTGCAGTGTTTGCACAATCATTGGGCTGTGAGCCTTTCCTGAGGATTGGTTCCTTCTATAAGACCCATGTCCTCATCTGTAGAAGGGCAGTGATGACCCTGCTGGCTGACTTTTCAGAGGCCTAGGTGATGAGACTAGCGATGGCAGGTCAAATGGCAGGTGTTTTGTGCTTTATTTCCTCATGTGCACATATGTGTGTGTGAGTGTGCTTTTGTGTGTGTGTGTGTGTGTGTGTGTGTGTGTGTGTGTGTGTGTATGTGTGTATGCACAGGCGTGCAGAGACCAGGTTCAGCTGCTGTGTCTCTGGACAGTGTGCTGTAGAACTCACCCTTTAGGCAAAACAGCCTCCATCTTCTTGATGTAGCTATGCCTACTGGCAAAATTCCATCACGGCATGACCTGTGGGCTGCTGACCTTCCTGAACTGGAAGGGTCAGCAGGGGAAATGAAACTCTCACCTGAGTGTCTAGCCCGCTTTTCTGTCCTAATTGTGTGTGGCCCCGAGGTTCTCAGGGGGAGGATAGAGTACAGAGCCAGGGGAAGCAAGACGCAACGCTCCGTCTGTGCAGCTGTGGAGCTGTCCTTCCCTCTGCCTGTACACCTTCCCCGTGCTTGAGGGGCTCAGCCATGTCCCTGCCCATCACCCCTCACCCATGCCCTGTAAGCGTGCCTATCGGTTTCCCCAGAGTGAGCATTGGTTTAACTGAGCTTTGGTTTGTCACTGAGGTCTTATGAAGAGGGAGTAGATATTATGTAAGTCTCCCCAGAGGAGGAGGAGGAGGTATTTTAACCATAGAGCAGGGTCTCTCTGTGAATCCAGAATTCTCAGATTCGGCTACACTGGCTGGGCTCTACCTGTCTCTGCCATTCCAGCCCTGGGATTACACACAGATGTCACTGTGCCCAGCATTTTCACGTGGTTCAGAGATCCATGCTTGCATAGCCAACACTTCCCTAGCTGAGCTGTGGAGGCCAGTCAGCCTTTATTGTCCCTTTGACTTCCAACCCTAAATCTTCATCCTGGATCAGCCACTGGTTTGCTGTGTATCTTTGGATAAATCTTTCTCCCTCTGGACCCATCTCCAGGAGTTTTGAGTTCTCATGATAAACATAATCCACTGGGAATCTGATTTGGGATTTACATTTCTAAATGTCACCCCCAGAGTTGTTGACGGAGTAGAGAAAACTCAGGGGCTGGGGGCTTGCCTGCTGAAAATCTTGCTCACACCATAGTCTGGCTGCTCATAATCCTGGGGTAGGTTGTATGGAGTCTCTTGGGTGCTAAGAAAACAGCTGCTGGCTGAAGGGAAATCTTTATTTCCACTGTAAAATATTTATCTAGCAGATTTGTGGTCCTGAAATTTAAGATTAACTGAGACAAAGGATAATATTAGAATGAAAGAGAGAAAGGCTCATAGACAAAGTGGAGTCCCATATGTGAGTGACTGGGTTTTTCTTTGGAGTCACTTGGAAAGCTATCAAATACAGAGTGCCATGCTCCCAGTTCCTGGAGACTGTGAAGTATCATCCCCTGGAGTGTCCCCCGTGAGCCCACAAATCGACTGAGATGCCAGGGGACACTAGGGAAGAGTGGGGACAAGAGCAGGGAGAAGAGTCTAAAGGGATGGGCTGCCATTCCATCTGACCTACCATTGCCACTTCAGAATGTGACCTGGGTTTCTCGCAACAGTTGCTATTTAAAAGAAAGCCTGGATTGCTCCTGTGAATCTTCCATTTTGTAAATATTGCCCTCGGATTTGAGTTTAAAGCATTCTCCCAGCCAAGTGAAATACATCTGTCCTGGGTTGCTCACGTATGACCTTCACTGAAAAACTGAGAGCCAACCTAACGCTGAACACCCATGATTCAATTTATCTCAGGGTCATCTGAGTAGTGATTCCTAAGTGGCTGTGGCTCTTTGATGCCTTGCTCACTTCATCCCACTCTCATTCTGACCCTTTTCATAGAGGAAAAAGTTGAAAACAGGTCACGGAGTCCCAAGGCTGGAGTCTGAAGCTGAAAGGTTCACTTCAATGTCTTCCCTCTCCTTTCAGGATATAGGATGAAGATAGCCCCTATTTCTTGGTAATAAAACTCAGGGTTTCTCTCTCTCTCTCTTTCTTTCTCTCCTGAGCACAGCAGACAGCCCGGCCCACCTTCTTTGCCCGCAAGTTCGAAGCCATAGTGAACCAGGAAATCATTGGGCAGCTGGACTCTTACCTGTATGGGAACTATCCTGCGGGCACCCCAGGCCTCCGCTCCTACTGGGAGAACGTCTATGATGAGCCAGATGGCATCCACAGCCTCAGCGATGTGGCGCTTACCCTGTACCATTCCTTCATCCGCCTGGGCCTGCGAAGGGCTGAGCTGTCCCTACACACGGATGGGGAGAACAGCTGCAGGTGAGCCAGCTGGGTCCCTGGCAGAGCAAGGTGCTAATGCCATGCTTCTCCTCCCGACTGCCACATGAGCCCCTCACTCTGTGCCAGCACTCTGCTTCTTCTCTAACTCTTCTTCTCTGAAGGCAGGCTGTAATACTGATCCTCATCCTACTCTCCCACTTAGGCTTTTTACATGTGCTCTCCCACCTGCTCCGTCTCCCCTACCCCGCTGCTTCCTTCTTTCTTTCCTTCTTTCCCATTGCAAAGAGTATCTCACTGTGTCACCCAGACTGCCCTTAAGCTCACTGTGGCCCAGCCTCAGCCCCCAAATGCTGAGATCACAGATGCGCACCATTATCTCTGACCTTAGGCAAGGTATGAGCTCCTCAGGCCCTCAGCTTCTTCATATATAAGATGAAAGGAACGTGCTCACAGGCCGCCTCGCAGGCGTGCATTATCATCCTCCTTGTAACAGTATTTTCCATACCGAGTGGTCAGTATCTTTCCCACGATTCGGGTGCCTGGGTATTAAGCTATCGCAATAGTTAGCAGTGAGTGTTCTGGTTGAGATGGTAACCAGTTAGCTGTCCCTATCATCCCCATCCCACTGTGGCTCTTTATTTACTGTCTCATCCCGGCAGAGTTTACGGTTCCCAGTCACTAAGGCTGTCAAGTCCCACCCTGTCAGAAGCTCGTGTGTGTTGTGGTGGGTGCATGCGCACACATTTGTGTAACTGTGGAGGCCAGGGACCAACGGCAGCTGCCCTCCTCGATCAATCTTCACCTCATTTTCCCCCGAATTTTTATAAAAGTATGCGTACGCATATGAGTTTTTGTGTGGGTGCGGAGGGGTATGTGGATGTGGATGGCCAGGGAGGCCAGAAGAAGGCACTGGGTAGGATCTGAGGTTACGGGCTGTTTTGAACTACCCTTTCTGGGTGCTGGGAACTGAACTAGCATCGTCTTCAAGAGCATCATAAGCCTTTACTGCTGAGCCACCTTTGCAGCCCACCATATACGTGTGTGTCTGTGTCTGTCTGTCTTCTCTCTTTCTCTCTCTCTCCCTTTCCGTGTGTGTGTGTGTGTGTGTGTGTGTGTGTGTGTGTGTGTGTGTGTGT